CAGTGTCGAGACAAGCAGTTTTGGTTCTGAATTTGCTGCTCTAAAGACAGGTGTTGAATTACTTGAGGGACTACAATTCAAGCTCAGAATGATGGGCGTCCCAATCCAAGGTTATTGTCATACTTGTGTCGACAATATGTCCGTTGTCAAGAACTCCAGTGTTCCTGAATCTCAATTGAAAAAGAAATCGAACGCTGTCGCATATCACTATGTTCGCTCCAGATGCGCAATCGATATCCTACAAATTGAATGCATCATTTCCGCTGAGAACTTGGCCGACGTTTTACCAAGATCCAACCTGGAACTGTTCGTGACCGTCTTATGGAACACATCATGTGGAAAGCAAAGCATAATGGAAAACTTGCTCTTTTGATTTAATTTTTGGAAAGGTCTTCATCCGTCGCCGGATATTGTCAGTCTTGGACAGTATTGGATGATACGTCCTCCCAAGAGGGGGTAGGGTTGATATTAGCCCAATTCGGAGTACAAGGTTCTCTGATACATCAGTATCACCTCGAGGGGACCGTTAATTGGACCAGAGAGTGTCCGTCATTCGTACGTTTAGATAGTTTAACCTAGAGATTCGCACACATCTTGTAAAATCCCCATGTTTGTCATCGTACTCGTTTTCGTCCTGAATCTCTGGACCGTGTGGCAAATCCGGGCATTTAGCGAAACCGAAACCGCCAAACCCGACTATAGGTTGTGAAACGCGCGCTAATTACTGATGACGCGGTAAAACTGAAAACTGTTTTCACACGGGGATATCCTAGAAATCCCGGGGAAAAAAAGGGAACTTTTAGGGAACTTTTAGGGAACTTTTAGGGAACTTTTAGGGAACTTTTAGGGAACTTTTAGGGAACTTTTGAGAGATTTTTTTACGGAACTTTTGGGAGATTAATTAAGACTCCCCAAATGCTATCCCTGCTTTCCCATCTTGCAAAGAAACTGTTACTTTTCAAATTGTGAATTATTATTATGCCATTGGCATCGGTTTTGGACAATCCAATGCTATCAACAAGGTCAACAATGAATACTGGAGCGATTGATAATGCTGGACAATAGTAGTTGAAGAATTGGAGAACCAGCGATGCGAAAAAAGAGCCTATCAAGGACAGTGCTGGAGAGACATCACCGAAAACATGGACCCAAACCATGTCTACTAGCAGATGGGCAATGGCGTACATTCGGCCAAAAAGTCTTGTTTAGAACAAGGTCTTTGTCTTCGCTCACTGGATGGTCACATCTATTATTCAAGAAACCGACAGAGGAGAACTTCAACGAGATTGAAACGTTTTGACACTATTGGAACTCGTTTTCGTTATACTATGGACAAGCATGAAGTCGTTTACACTGACTTTCTCGTTTTGATTCAATACGATATTGAGAATGGCCGTCCTTTGAATAGCGTCATCTACTATAGTGCAATTCTCTTTTATTTGTATAGTTTGTCTTTTGAGGGAATATTGTTTCGCAAAAGTTCCCTGAAAGTTCCCTGAAAGTTCCCTAAAAGTTCCCTAAAAATTCCCTAAAAATTCCCGAAAAGTCCCTGCAAGACGGGGTAATTTTCCGAAATATGGGTTACACACGGACAGACGGGGTCCCATTGCCAGCGGGATCTCCTGTCGATTCCCGCTTGACCTGCTTGACCAGCCGTTAAATTCTAGCGATGCAATTTGCCAAAATAGACCTCGCCTTCAAACACCTGCCGGAATATCCAGCACTGGCCAACGGATGAATGATCGCCATATGAGTAGACGACTGAAACCGTTGTTGCCACATTAGCTTCCGGTGCAGAAATAGGATTTCCATTTCCGCACGGTGCGGAAATAGGATTTCCATTTCCGCACGGTGCGGAAATAGGATTTCCATTTCCGCACGGTGCAGAAACCAGCTTCCGAGTGAGAGCCAGCTTTTGATACAGAAAAGTCTCCCCCCAATTCTCCCCCAAACATAACCTGTCTCTCGTACTTCATAATGAGAATTGACGTTTCAGCTTTCACCTTGGGCTACTACACTGTCAACATACTCCAACATGAATCAGTAACACCTGCAAGGAAACGGCCCAATTACTATTTTGATAAATGGAGATTTGGGAGAGAGGAGGATTGCAAGCACTGAAATATTCCCTTGATCTGATCCGCGATTGATCTTGGATGTTGTGTAATGCTGAATATGTATAGTTTACTATAGTGTCAATAGATCGCTATCGGAACAGGAGCTAGTATCTAGCCACCGGAGGGATACAAGAACTATGGGAGCTGAGGCACCCAAAGCTAGTTGTATTCATATATCTCTCCTGACATTTTCTTTTGGCATTCTCCACTCCCTACCGGTATCTTTTGGCGTATGCAATCAAATACTTCCCCCAATTTTTCTTTCCCTTAAAGAAACCTTTTGGCTCCAGCTTCCGAATGCGGAAATGGAAATTCCATTTCCGCATCATGCGGAAATGGAAATTCTATTTCTGCATGATGCGGAAATGGAAAATCTATTTCCGCATGATGCGGAAATGGAATTTCAGAGTCGTGGATTCCAGATTCCACATCCGTTGTATTCACTGTTGTACGAGGATGTAGTGCTCGCAACGCCGATTTGAATCGTGTGCAAATTTGATTCGAGCTTTTTCATTCCGCGTGCAGACGACGATGACCGTTATTTTTTGATACATTTGTGTTGGCACGCAACCCCCTTGAGAGAGCGGTGACACCCGTCTGTCCCCTTGTCCTTATTTATGAAAATTACCCTGTCTTGCTGAAAGTTCCCTATAAGTACCCGGGAAGTTCCCTAAAAGTACCCGGGAAGTTCCCTAAAAATCCCCGGGAAGTTCCCTAAAAATCCCCGGGAAGTTCCCTAAAAGTTCCCTTTTTTTTTCGGGTGTCCGTCCGGACAAACGGGTCATGTTATAACGTTCGTCTTTTCCGCGCGGAAACACGAAATTTCGATGATCGGAGAATCTCGAAATACACGTTTTTGCCACACGGTCCTGGTACAGTACGTGTACACTCGCTACTCAATTTTTAACTTTTCGTGTCGTTTGGTTTGGTTTAGTCATAAGCCGTGTTCCCTGCGCGAACGGGTACACCCAAAATCAAAATTTACTAGTAATTTCCCCCTTTTTCAACATTATTACACCTTTTCGAACAGTTTTCCAATTTAACTTCCACACACAACCTTCACTATTGTTAGTTGAGTTACATGGTGTATTTGGATCTTCAGTGGCCAAATTTGGCGACGAGGACTTAGTGGCTGAAATTCCGGTCGGAGTAGTCAAATATGCGTAGATTTTGTACTGGCTCTACACATGAGGCAATTTGTGGTCAAGATGTAGGCAATATTGTACCTTCAACAAACTATTTTCAATTCTGGCTTCTGCACACACCATTCGGTATTTGTAATAGAGCTAGATTGAGTACTTGGATGGAGGTTGTCAACATTTCGCATAGAGAAATAAGCAGTATTAGGTGATAATTTGGAGGTTTTTTGAGCTTGTCGTGGTAGTCGATTCGAGGATTCTCAATCAGCGATCTCAAAATCACCAACTCCAACGCTAGTTTTAACAAATTTTGCCAAAATGAGATCCAAGTACACCATCTAGCTCAGTTACAGATTGCGCATAATGTGTGCAGAAGCCAGAATCGAAAATAGTTTGTTGAAGGTACAATATTGCCTACATCTTGACCTCATGTGTAGAGCCAGTACAAAATCTACACATATTTGACTACTCCGACCGGAATTTCAGCCACTAGTCCTCTTTGCCAAATTTGGCCACTGAAGATCCAAATACACCATGTAACTCTACTAATAATAGGGAAGGTTGTGTGTGGAAGTTAAATTGGAAAACTGTTCGATAAGGTGTAATAATGTCGAAAAAGGGGGAAATTACTAGTAAATTTTGATTTTGGGTGTACCCGTTCGCGCAGGGAACACGGCTTATGCACAGTTTGATTCGGAATAAATAACAAGTTACGACGCGTCACACACATCAGATGCAAACTCCCCGCAGCTTTAACACCATGCCTCGAGAAAAAATGGACAACGAGAACTCCAAGAAGCAGTCGGAGGATAGTATGAAAGAAGAAGATGTGGGCGCAAGTTTCATCCCCGAAGACTCTCTACCATCCTCGACTGAAACACTATCGCGGGCTCAAGAACATCTGAATGATCTTTCCATAGATTCGTCGAGTCTCAAACATGTCGACATGACTCGAAAGTCTTTCGAGCATGGGTCTTGGGGTTCACCGACTTGCTTTGCATTTGGAGAAGCTTTTCGCAAAAGGCAAAGTCAAGATAAGGTGGGCGAGAAAGAGAAGCTTCGCGAAGCAAGAGAAGCTATACATGGATTCAGCGAGCTGCTGATAGCTCAGAATAAGACTCCTGGAGAAATTGACAGTAGCCCCTTATGCAAGACGTTTACATTCGAAGGCCAAGCACGAGATAGCGACGGGTCCCAGGATCTGGAAGTTGACGCACAGCCCTTTTATTCAAGATACAAGGCCGCAGTTTTCGTGGTTCATCAGACTCACGGTAAGGTCACATTGTAGACCCTCTGCAGTTTTCTCTGTACAATCATACTCATCGGACGATCCTTTGATTTAAAGGTATGCTCTTTCTGCGGCAACCGAACGACGCAAGCCCAGTGGAAATACCCGGTGGGTCAATTGGAGAAATTGAAATATCAAGGGCTGGTACGTCCTTGCCCGTTGAACATGATTGCCATTGAATCCTCAATCTAACAATTGTTATCAGCTTTGAAAAGCTCGCACTATAAGATGCAGCTCCAGATTGCTGCCAGGGAGGCTGCTTGTAGGCATCTGTACGAACAAACTGGAATGGACGTAAGATGTGATTTAGATCAGCTGCAACCAGCGGTACTGTATCTGGAACCTCCTCTCGGTAGCGATGGAAGTCGACTGCTTCGAAATGAGCTGAATGGCGGCTTGTACTACTTTTTTCGAACCTCGGAGTTGGTTGACATAGCAAAAGTTGCAAATAATGGTCGAGCGCTGAAAGAGCCGCTGGAACGAGCTTGCACAACAGCTGAAACATTCAGCGAAGTGACAGCTTTCAACTCGGTTGTATTTATCAACGAGCCAACGAAAGCGTTGGAACTTCTTGAGAGCCACGGAGATTGCGATTCAGCTGTGGCGTTGCAAATGGTGATTGCAGAGAGTTGTGCTAACCCACAAGCTGATTTCAACGATCCCAGAATCCATGAAACGGAGATTCTTGTTCAACGCACCGAAGAAATCGAGTTACAATCGAAGCAGGAGAGAAACAAAAGGCGTAGGCAGAATTTTGCAGGCATGAAATTCTTGCGATCCACAATGCTTTGCTTTCGAAAAAGATGAAGCTCTCATGTTGGACAAGAGGATTCCCCTCCAATGCGTTATTTTGCCATCTCGTTAGTGCAGAGCAAAAAGATAGATGTAACATGTATCGATTATCATATTTGAAACGATTAGACATAATATGGCTTCATGAGCATGTTTTCCACCCATGGTTCCACGAACAAACGTGTCACGAAGTAGAAGAAAATTCCCAAACAAATACTTATCGGCAGCGCTGGAAGAGCTTGATGGAAGACTGAGAGCAAAACGAGAGTCCCACCGAGACCAGCGAGGATGACGAGTACACATGCGACAAATGTGGTGAAGCTGTACTGAGCTGCCTTCGCGACAAGCACAGAGTAAAAAATGAAGTCTCCAAGACCGAGGCGAATAGTGTTACTGGTTTCCCCGTTTTCGAAATCCTCCGTGGACTCTGCAAATACTCTTCCCAGTCGGTCAACATTTAGGACTCGCTTTGGAGCGCCATGTCTATCGCGCTCAATGAAGATAATTTGGCCGCTACGTTTCGTTTTCTCGATTCTACCTCCCTGCTGTGGTAAGCGGATCACGACATTTGAATTCAGCTGCGCTGGAGTTGGATTTTCTGGAATGTTCACCCCATTCGATTCATCAGTCCTGAGCAAAGGTGCGTTCGACGACTTAGCAGAAGCTTGGAAAGTTCCTAAAATGGTTTCGGATTCAGATGGTATGGATAGCACAGGCAAGTTGTACACTCTTGCTATTGCAAGCGGAACCTCGATGGTGCCATCGACTCCTTCCGCCATTCTATTGTTGATGCTGGGAGAAGTGTCTTTACTGCTCTTTGCTCTTCCAGGACGCCGGGCTTCTGGCGGTAATTCTGCTTCGTATAGCAAACCAGGCATCTCTGGAGCATCATCACGAGACATTAGATTCACAAGTGCCTTCAAGGGCCCGCAAGGTGTCAAGACAGCGCACAAATCGTAGAGCGCAAGCATAAACAGAAGCGTCCAAGTTGTATATTCGTCAAAGTAGTCAAGGTGCCATGCCAAGATGACTGACGTCGAGATGAGATATCCTTGAGTGATTCCCTTGGAGACTCCTCTGCCGAAAAAGATTGCAAGGACTCCCACGGCGGCGAAATTCCACAACACCAGAAAATAGGACAGCTTATCAACAGGGAATCTGTAAATCTGAATTGCGACCCAATACATGTGACCTCCCAAGAATCCAAGCAACGTAGTAGAACATAGCATCATATAGCCGATTAAGCACTTCATGCATTCAAAGCGATAAAGCATCACAATTACAAAGGTCATGAGACAGATCACTGAGACCATAATCAACCCATTTGCTAATGCAAAACCAATATTTTCTCCAACGGAAGATTCACTGTCGATTTTCAAAATCTGGTATGCTTGCGCCATCTGTTGCGCTCCTTGTTCAACTGTATCTTCGTTATTAATAAACACAACCGCAAGGGCTGCAAGGACCATGGTGCACGTTACTTCAAAGAAATTCAAAGTTAGTGGCGAGATTCGTAGTTTACTTTGCTTGGTTCAAGGCCGAGCACTTTGGACTCACCTGGAACGACGATGGCATAGAAAGAAGAGGTACTATATAGTAACTCGGAGATTGACATAGCATAATCATACTCGAATTCCTCTTCAACGCTCTCTTCGTCTATGAAAGTCTCGCCGTTTGTTTCAACAGAGGGTTCAGCTGCTTCAACTATTGCTTCATGGTCTGAAGCGCCTTGATTTTCGTTTTCGTCATCATGCTGCCTCCTATAATCGTTCTGGAATGGCATGTCTGCTTTGGGAACTATGCTCCTCATGATTGCTGGCTTTTCGACACTTGCAGGTCAAGTATTGGTTTAAGACAAGTTTATTGTTTCTAAAAAGTTGATTTCTGAAAAAACCGTTTGGTTTTGGTTTTAAATGTGCGCATGCAGAGACCAACGTTCAAAAGCGGGCCGGGTCTTCAGGAACACCCCGGCAAATGAAACTGCGCGGGGTCGACTGGGAATTCTGATGTCTTTCAATAATGTTGGTTATTGCTTCGTAAGTATTCATCGCATGAGAACAGATACTGCCTATGGCTATCTCAAGAATAGATGCTTTGTCCAAGATGTTAGAGGGGCCAACATGTCTTTCTGTTATGCCGTTCTAGTATTCCTCATGGTTGAAGCGTCACTTTCGCAAAACCATTTTCTTTGGACGGAAAACCACATGGCACATGAAGTCTATCATAGACTTCATCATTTGGAGCTAAATAAATTTCACGAGAGCAACGAAGATACCTATGAACAGTATTACAACACTATTGCTCAACACTCTTCGATTTTTTATCGTAGGACTATGCTTTTTTGTGTTCTCCTTTTTGTATCTACCTTAGAACACTGACGGCCTGATTTTGCCAAGCGATAACCTCATTAGACTCATGATTGTTACGATCAAGAGTTAGTGTTCCTTTGTGAGGCGGAGGTCTGCTGCAACGACTACAATTTTTACATGCATAGATACGACATTGAACATGTTGGAAAACAATAAGATGCGAAATTTGAAAAATGCTTGTGGGGTTTTCCCCAAATTTGAATCTTGAGATAGCAACCATGATGATCCATCCGTTTTAGCCATTAAGTAAATGACGTGTTGAGCAATCAATAATGGCCATTATTGATTGACTCAACCTATCTTGAGTCAATCAATAATGCGCATTATCGCACGCTCAATTATTGTCCTCAGCTATCGTGGACAGTCACGATCTATCCCGCCTAAAAATAATCCATCTTTAAAATTTTTTATTAAAAAAAACAGAAATCAACAACACAACTATGGGAACCTTGCAAACGTAACATCGTATTCATAAAATCAACGACCATTCAACCACCAACCATGCCAGCTATATCGCCCTATGCTCCTCCGCGGAGGAATCCCTTTCTAAGACAGACTTCATCATCATTGTCTCGAGTTGAGTCACACCTTTTCAAACGAAAGTCGGTGGTGGCGGTGGCATTAATCATGATCGCACTGAAATTCTGGACGGATAGATCTAGGCGCCAACGACTCATCAAATTACTTAAAAAGCAACCAATTTTTGGAGGATTTATCGATTGGATTGAAGGAAGACTGGCTTTGAATAAAGCTGAAATGGGCAGTGAGGGTACCCTCGCGGAATTTTCTCGTTCTATCAAGGCAGATGGCTTCGTTTCTTCACTTCAAAGGCTGCACGACAATCAAGCCACCATTCGCAAAGTGCTGAATTTTTGGTTCGGTTCTGGGACACCAGATGAAAATCAGAAGAAATTGTGGATGATTGCTTCTTCGTCTCACAAATTGCGATTGAAAGTGGATCGTGAAATTACCGAAGATTTCGAAGCTCTTTTGGTTGAGCTTGCGGAAGGGGAAACCAGCGATCGTTGGAGGGACTGGTGCTTTGATACGGACGGAATTTATGGTATGCAAGGAAAGATTGCAGCGATCGTGGTACTAGATCAATTTTCGAGACACATTGAGAGAAACCACGAAACTCACAATACACAGCCCAAAGTCCCTTTTGCAAAATCCTTCCTCGACAGTCTCGCCCTCAAGACTGCTCAACTTTTTGTCGATACCCATAAGGACGAGATTCGGTGTGGAATGGTACCTCTTCCGATGTACATATTTTCACTCATGCCATTTCGCCATGCCAGTACCATCGAAACTTTGGAATACGTCCAGCGTTCCATTGAGGCGAGTGCATCAATGCATGAGCAAATGCGAGACATGTTGGGTCGCTTTCGAAAAGCCACCAATCGACGGCTGGCTCTGTTGCAAGATGAAGCTCGACGGACCGGAAAACTGAATTCATCCGAAAATGTTTCATGTGGAACTTTCAAAGACGAAGCTATCCTCGAGACATTTGCCTTTGAGACCGAAATGGAACCGGCTAAGCAGCATCTTTTACACAAAACGATTGCTGCGTTTTTGGCGGGCCAAGGAATTCATGCCAGGGACAATGAGCCACCAATGGCCGTCATTGTTTCACTCTCTGGCGGTGTTGATAGTATGGTAATCGCGTCTGTGCTCTCCCATATGAAAAAGTCATGCAATTATAGCTTGAATGTCGTTGCAGGTACGTTCTGAACAGCAAGCTCTTGGAGGATTGTGTCATCGGATCTCATTCTCCCTTGACACTTCTAGTTCATATTGACTACGGAAATAGACCCGAAGCTTCTGCGGAGGCTGACTTTGTTAGACGGTATTGTAAATCGCTAGACATTGAATTCATATGTCGAACTATCCAGGAGGTAACAAGAGGTGTAACATCCCGCGACGAGTACGAACGCATTTCGAGAGATATCAGGTATGCGACTTACAGGGAAGCGGTCGCAAAGGCAAGATCGGACTTGCACCAAGAGGACATGATTGTTGGAGTCATGCTGGGACATCATCGTGGTGATTTACGGGAGAATGTTCTGTCAAACGCGCACAAGGGGTCAGGGCCTTTGGATCTTGTGAGTAGTGTGGACTTTGTGTCTCTAGATGCAATTTGTGATTATTACAACTGACACCACCATTGATGCTGCACTAGTCTGGAATGACAGCTGTGTCCCAAAATGATGGTGTGACACTGTTGCGACCCCTGTTGTCACTGGAGAAGAGTTTTGTTTTTGATTATGCACATACATTTGGTGTTCCATACTTCAAAGGTATGTATGGCCTGAAGCCATGGTACCCCTCAAGTCAACCCAGCCAGCGCATACTGATTCCTCCTGTCACCCTACCTAACAGATACGACACCACATTGGTCAACAAGAGGAAAGCTACGAAACAAATTGATTCCACTTCTTCAGGAAATATATGGGGACGGCAGCATGACCAACCTTAGCAATTTGGCTACTGAAAGCGATGAATGTCGTGCCCTCTTGCATGGATCCATAATGGCTCCTTTTTTGAAGAGTGTCACTCACAAACCAATGGGTATTATGTTCGACACAGCTCCATGGAAGGACCAAGGCTTCTTCTTTTGGAAGTTTGTATTGAGAGAAGCACTGCATAGTGCAAAACTTGGAATGTTCTCAGACAAGAGCGTCGTTTCTTTTCTCAAACGCGTCAAAGCAAATGTCGTCAAAGAAGGATGGCTTCAGTGTCGGAAAGACTACGGAGTCTATCTGCAACAGGACGGAAAAGTCTTTGCCTTTCGTTCCTCAAGCTTCCCCTGGAACAAGAAGGCCATGTTCAATGTTTATGGACAAGGTAAGGCAAGAAACAGTCTTTTGGAGCTCTCTGCAGGAAAGTACCTAAACATGAGCAATTTGAAATTCCAGTCGTGGAATTTGACACAGACAAAAAGGTTGGACCTTGGGTCGTTCGAACTGAAATCGTTAGTGACAAAGGTGATTGCCCAGAGAAATTTCGACTGGCCCAAAAAGCTGTGGCATCAATGGAAACATTCATGGAAGGAAATATTGAGTACTACATCGAGTGCCCCACTTGGTACGTAAATGGCATCTTTCAGCCACGACCATTAGTTTTCTGTGTTTTCAAGAAGGCAGATCGTCCCATGGCGTGGAAGAATTTAGACCTAAAAGTCCAGTCAACTATTCCTCTGGTTGGGAATGATTTAACCGCCATCGGAGCACTCCAGAGTCCACAAACTATTGACGGGGAGCAGAATCCAACGCGACTCGTACGAGTCGTCATTAGATTAAAGAGCTAAGTCATCGGATGCCTTTGTTGTCTGCCGACTACTCATGAAATTTCGAATTGTCAGTCTCGACGGGAGAGGGCATTATGGCCTTGTTTCAAGGACTGTGAAGGATAACTCTCACTTGAAGCAAAAGATGTTGTATTAAAAGGTTTGGACATTGTCTAGTTGTTCCTATGAAAATACTTCATAAGACATGGATACTGTAGATACAGCACCGGTTCGTACCATATGGTACCATTACCAAAACATATCACATTGAGAAAAGATATGCACAGAAGAAAGGACGCGATAGTAGAAAAAAGTGTGTCTTTGTTTGGCTAATGGGAAAATACAGCAAAGCCGGCTCAGTATGTGCTGGGTGTGAATTGGGTAACGGCTGTTGTCTGCCATTTTGTGTGGAAGTGGACAGAAACTGCTGGAGACTCTTCCACCAGGTGCCACTGGACCAGCGGGAACATGTTGTGGAGATATATGAAGCGGGTCAAGCATCATTTCTGGGCAGACTAGGGCCTCTTGCCACGAAAAAGCGACGAAAATCAACTAATGCCTGTCTCGGCTTACATATAAAAATCTTGACAGAAATGGCGCTACACTAATTCTGAGTTTTTCATCAGATTTGGAGTGGTTTAATTGATGGATTCGTAGGTTAGCAGCTTATCGCATTGACATCTTCGTGGTCTCGTAAAAACGTTCGTAACTACATCAATACATGTTTTTAGAAAACTCGTGATTTTGGAAACGAAAAACAAATTGGATTCAATGGACTACATTGAAATCAACGGAGAAAGGGGAAATGGAAACAACCAACTGTCATTTTTTTAAAAATTTGAAATTACAACAGCAAAATCGCACTGTAAATCATGAACACCAAACTTTTCTGGGAGAATGTCAACAAGCGTATGAAGTATGAACGAGCACAAAGACTACAGCGACGCCGAAAGGCTGGTGTCAAACGCAGCGTTAAGATCAACCAAATGGATGAAGAAAAGCAGCTCCAGATTGAATGTCTTCTTCAGGTCCTCGAAGAGTATGTCACTGCGTCTTTATCACATCCGGAGGAGCCTTATCGCAATGAACAATTATCCGAAGATATAGATATAATTTATATTGCGGTACAGAAGCTGAAGAAAGATATGGCGGATGATGTGCTCCTCGCCGCTGGCATTTCGAGTGAAGCTGAGGACAACGCAAATGAAAATGAAAGCCCGGGATTGACGTTAGCACTAAAAGTGCTCGATGATCTGGCCAATGATACCATCACCAACAAAGAAAATGACAAACACGGTTTTGCTACTTCTTTGCATGCGAACGAAGAAGAGTTTGAAGAGGGAAAAGAAAACTTGACGAAAAATCTCGTGGAAACTGAAAGTTCTGAAGTTGTTAACAAAGATAGCAGCGTTAGTGGTCCTGAGATTCTCTCTACAAAGAACATGAGCAGTGGTGATAATGGTAATGAAAGTGAAGTTCTAGCTTCAACAAAAGATGTGTCGCAAAACATCCATCGTTCTTCTGACGAAAGTAATGCGCCATCTTCACAGCAGTTGTCATCAAAACCATCTAAAGAGTGCGACATCACTACGGACGCTGTAGCAGATGCAACTGACACTGAGGACAATACTAGACCAGGTGCAGTTCAAGTGGATCAAGTTGGGAGTAAAGGCGAGGCACTCAAAATTGGCGATGGCAGAAACGACAACCATGATGCTGAGGAAGTAGGCACGAAGAGCGCTGGAGTGGTTGAAGGCATCGCCGAAGAGTCTCAGCATGATGATGCTACCGTTGATGATGCTGTGGAATTAAATGATGCAGGCATTTTTTCCGATCCGATCAATGTGGCAACAAATGCTAATCTCGTAGAATCGCAGTCAGCCGCTGACAAAAGCAACAGGAAATCTGTGGATACAACAGAACCTAGGCAAAACAAAGATACCCTTCGTTTCTTGAAGAAGCCAAAGTTTGCAATCAACAGGAAGAAAAGTGACAAGCCATCCATGTGGAGTCGAACAATGGATTCGCGGTCCGAGCAACAGGACTTTTCACAGTTCGAAGAAGACATGAGAAAAGAGAAACCAAAATTCAACGTGAAGGGCGACAAACTGTTACTGAAGGCAATTGCTTCGCTAAAGAAAAACTTGAGTCAGGAGAGAGCAGAAGAAGGACCCAATCCTGAACCTTTGCCACCAAGACTTCTCGATGCAGTAAACAATTTGGACAGCAGTGCTGAAAATGCGAGTCAGTGAGTGGCCATCGCAATAGTGTAAAGAATGTAGCTAGTTTCGTTTTTGTGCAAATTAATGTGACCTACTATTACCATGATGCTTTCTTTTTCTATTTCACTTCTGATTGCTATAACAACCTAATCGTCTTCCTCTTCTTCTTCGTCCTCATCTTCGTCTGATTCTGATTCTGACTCGGAGTCTGATTCTGGCTCCGGAGCTTTCTTTCCTCCCTTCTTGCCAGTTTTAGGAGCCTCTGTGGGAGAAGGGGTCGGTGCCTTCTTGGTGCCCTTTTTTGTTGATTTCGCTGCCACATCAGATGATTTTTCCACACTTGTTACAGTATTTTCATCTGAAATGTTTGCGACATAGGACTTGGAAGTCTTTTCTTCAAACTTTTGCTCTAGGATCGTCTTTTCCGCAACGGCAGCAAAAGACTTCATTTGTGATTTGGCAGAGATGCAGATTTCGTCAACCTTGTCCCTGAGAACAACAAGAATCTCCGACTTTTGTGTTTCGGCCTCCTTTTCTCCCTCAGCCTTCGTATCATCTGCATCCCGGTCCAAATCATTCTGGAACTCTGTCTTTTCCTTCTCCAAAGTTTCATCAGCCTGGTCATTAATGAATTTGTGGACATCATCCTCCAACTGCGATCTAATTCCCTCTTTCAATGTGGTAATTTCGTCTTCGGAAAAGTCGACCCCAGATTCGGATAGCAAATCTGAAAGACGGCCTTCAATGATCTCAAGTTCCTTTCCCATTTCCTCTGACAGCATGTTTTCATTCATGCTTACTTGCTCCTTGACAGTTCGCTCAAATTTACTTTGGGCGTCGGAAAATTCCGCGTCTTCATCGAGTCCAGGGTCGATAGCAGCCCCTCCACCACTCTTAGGGTGATTCACGATGTGGTGCTTGGCTTGTCCGCCAACAACCTCGGCTCCAGCATCTTGGCTTCCTCCGCTCAAGGACAATACAAAGAACAACGCAACCACAACTGCCGCAATGCAGGCGTATCTCTTGGTTCTTGATTGACTGTTTTCCAATGCAAACAGCAAATAGTTAGAAGGCGCAATTGGTGGGAATGAAATCGGGCTGGTTTGCAGGTAAAGTTTCGCTGTATGCTTTGGAAACAATATAGATGCTCTGTCAGTATAATTGAAAACTCACGATTCTTCAGCTCCAGCAACGTCTCTCATGCTAGATCAGGGTAATAAAATAAAATAAAATAAGTGTGCAACGTGATCGAATGTGGTCAAACCTACGGTAGAAACATACTGTGGTCTACTTGCGATGACCCTTCTCTTCAATCGTACTGTATCAATCATGGTGCGATCGAGTAATGTGACTAAATTGACTAGATGGCCACGTTAATTAAACTTCGGAGAGTTAGTGAATTGGTCTGCCGATAGACGTATCGATTCCACCAATTGCAATAAACTGAAGTGTCATTGCCTACTATCGTAGAGGGCCGATGACTTGCTACCGTATGTAATACATCATTAGTTTGTATATATTAGACATTCTTAGACTTCCTTTTGCTAACAGTCTTCTTCTTGTGAGCCGTCTGCTTCGTTTTGGCATTCTTCTTCGTCACCGTCGGGAGGAAAAATATTGTCAAAAGCACCCCTGTTTTCTGTTGTTGTGGGTTTGCGGCTAGCACGAGTCTGCGTCTTTTCGGGAAAAATCTCAAAATAAGTTTTAATGCTTCGAGCCCCCTTCTCGGGTAGTCCTTCGGTGCCAGTCCCCATATCGAATCCAATATTTTCAAAGTCCTCTACTCGACCCAGCCCTTCCTTTCTTTGCCTTGTACTCTTTTCTACATTCACAACGTTGAAAATGTCGAAGCCTTCAAATAGCCTTAAAAAATGCTACCTTTGAGAAACTTTTTTTATCCCACTTGCCGCCATTCTCTTCATTTTGCTTGCGTTTCATGTCGGCGAGCTTTTTTTTTTGCTCTTCATAGTAGGATGATACACGCTAAACTGACAAGATACGAGGCGACTGGTGGTTATCTATCCCCAGACAGCAATGCAACGACACATACTCCAATGTTGTCATTGCTTCCGCGAACATAGGCGTCTACAGCCAAAACTTCTGCTGCTTCCTGAAAAGCCCCTCCGTTGTTCCAACTGACTCGATCAGTTGCATCATACGATGCGATGACAATGGCAACCATTTCAACAGCCTCCTGATTGGACATTACATCCCATAACCCATCTGAGGCCAAAACTACAAAGCATGGAATACTTTGATGTTGATTTGCGCCACAAAGGTCCCCTATCTCGTAATGTGTGAAGATTTTAACATTTGGTACTCGACTCAGCACTGGTGCCAATCCAACATCTCCAATCGACCTAGTGATGGCCAAAGTACCATTGACACGATCAATTCCTCCAACAGAACTTACAAAACCTCCCTTTTCGATGACAAAGCTTTGCTCGCTAGGATCGGATGCTACATGATCCTTTGTGAGTGGAATGGCTGTAATTTCCCCATTTTCATTTATTGAAGAGAGAACGGCCCTCGAATCACCAATACTCGAGACCACTACCACGTCGTCGGTGACCAACAAACTTGTTGCCGTTGTGCCAGAGCGATCCACAGTCGAACCATTCATTCTACTTGTCCGTTCTACAAAGTCTTCGTGAAGTTGGGCAAAGGCCCCTGACACATTGGCTCGAATTTCTTCTTTCCAAATGGTGGGCAGCGAATCGGTCTTGGTGAGATTGGAGAGCCCGTTGAGATGCAGATGTGCAAGCAATTGATCATACATAGTGGAGGCAACATATTTTGACGCTAAATTGCCGGTATGTCCATCAAAGATACCATAGAATTGAACAGTAGCATCCAATTGAATTGAATGAAAATCTTCAATCACACTTCTTCGCCCTTGGAGGTCGCAGTATCCCGACGTGGGATGTGCGGGCAGCATGGAATGCGTATTGATGCACGTTGGCAAGTTAGTCCGATCGTAGGTGCAAAAGCGCCCATGTTTGCGAGCGTTTACATGGACGTGACAAGAACGCCAGTCGGAGAAAGAGCGTCCACATTTGGGGCACACAAACTCATCGACTGAGTAGGCAGCCGGGTAAAAATCCAGCCGCGGATCAGACGACGGAAAGAACATGGTGGCCGGAGGCGCGTCCCACTCTAATGAATCGAAGAGACTGCCATCCGGACTCGAAAAATAGGGATGAAGAAGAGCTTCAGCAGCTGTGATACGATCTTTTGCATCCCATGCTAGCAGTTGCCAGATCAAATGCAGCAGCAAATCAGCCGATGAATCAAAACCAAGTCCGAGTGGATCTCTTGCGCGAAGTGCATGGTGGAAGTCGCGCATCGTACAAGATTGCTGTGATATGGACGTTTTGTGCAATGGATCACCGTGCCGAAGTGGCCAGCTGTCTCGACCAGTACTCGGTCCACTTAGATTATTCTTTGGATTGTTGTTTCGTGTGTTACCAGGCATGTAAATGCAAAAGTTCGACAGCGCCGCAAGATAAAGTGCACGCTGGATTTCTTCCTCCGAAGCATTTTCTTTTTTCATTTTGTTGGTGAGCAACGCTGTTGTTCTCTGATCTACAGTGAAAACATTCGGCGTGCCCAATAGCAACTCCAATGCCAACACTCCAATACTCCAAGAATCATAGCTCTGCGGTCTGTCCTTGTCGAAGGGTACCCATTCGTCGCTGATGTAGGATTCGGGAGGTGCATACTCGTCCGTCTGTTCAGCTGGACTTGGCCCCATAGTGTACAAATGGGCTGCAATGTAGTTATTGTCCCATGCACTAGAGAAGTCACCTAATCTGCACTTAATGTTAGACAGTTGAGGAATTTCATTCCAGTCGTAAGAAGGTGTAGTATCGGTCGAGCACATTACATTAGACGGTTTGATATCGCGATGTACATATCCGTTTTCATGAAGTAACGCAGCTGAGGATAGGACTTGTTTCAGGACTGTTCGAAGTACGTCACCTCCATTGCCTCTGGATGCTAGCTCTCGCTTTGGCTGGTCATTGCTGTTGGCATCTTGCAGATCAGACTGGCTGCTCTTTCCTTCTCGAAGATTGACAGACAATGATGAATCTTGATGATCCGATTTTCTTCGAAAGGATCGAAGGCTTGACCACAACCGACTGGGCTGGTACATGACGAATCCTCCTCCTTCACTGGTGACGGTGTCGTAAATGTACGAACGCAAGGATGGCCCACCTGCATGTTCAAAGACAATCCAAAGCTCTAGCTTTGTATTCTGATACAGACCAAATGATCTCTTGACGGGTATCTCGCGAAAGAAGTGATCCACATAAGCTGTGTACAAGGACTGTTGTGCCTCTTGGAGCTCATGTCGGATCCAATTGCCCATATAGATCTCGCGAAGCCCAGCCTCAAGGAGACGATAACCTTTTTCGACGCGGAGCCGTTTCAATATCAATGGTTTCTTATCATCGCAATCTGTGCTCGATAAATCATGGCATATTCGGTGTCCTTTCCATATCTCACCATGTGAGCCCCCAGCAAAAGCAGAATCTCCCATCTTATAGTCTGATCGCTTAGATCCATGGTTTTGCCACCACTTATTATGAGACCACGGCAGCCACCATTTCCACCAGTTTGAAAATACATTTTCAGTGGGTGATACATCTGTACATGCTAATTTTTCTGGATCTTTCTTGTCGTCATCAACCCACGGTGTGTCCGGCGGACTATCTGTACCGTCATCCTTTTCATCACTTTCGAGCTGTTGCGTGAATGGTTTATCCTGAGGGATCACAGGTTTGTAGGCGAAATCCAGATTGTGCCTCGGTGGTACACCGAGCTCTAATGATAATGGTTCTATCAATTGGTAAGCTTTTTCATAAACGAAGGAGTCGTAGTATAGCCGCTCATTTTCATCTCCTAGTTGATCAATATCTGCTGTCGTTTGAGCTTCGATTTCATGGCACTCGTCCCCTGATACTACTGAGCTTGCATCCGACAAGTGCTGAGGCATGTGGTGATAAACGTGTAATTGCATGCCTACAAAAGCAGCCGATGATCCGGAGGCATGGACCTTTTGGGGGTCGTAGGTTGAACCCTTCAGACTCACTAGGTCTTCACCATCAATCGATTCGCTACTGGTACTAGCTGAGGATTGTGCCAGTCGACGTTCGTCGAAAAAGGCATGCTGTGGATGATTGGTCAGTAGATTGTATTCAGTTCCAACGATCCGATCTCTTGGAACAAGTTGACGAACTTTGCTTATCGCGTCGGTTTCCTCCTTCGAATCATCTTTTAAGGATTGAACTATGCATGCACTGAAGAGGCCAATCGAACACCATCCTACAATATTAGGAAGTCTTCTCGCTGACATTAACATTATGATGTTTCACTCTACAGTACCTGGTACCGGTACCGGTACCAGCAACCGGCGCGAACAGTATTCGTATATACTACTGTACTGTACTGTACTTCAGAGTTTTTTTACAGTCAGAGGGACACAGGACCAACATGCGCATCGGAACGCGCGGAGGAAGGACGGAGGATGAAAATCTCCCGATGACCGATTATTGCTGTTTTGAGAGCCATAACGACAAGGTCTGGTCAAATCCACCTACTGACTTGCTGTCGATCGAGAAATAAAGAAGTCGTACCTTAGAGGGTTGTCCACGCGCCTTGTTTGCGTCATTTGTTGATAGCCACCCTCTTTTCTGTACGAGTAAAAAGCTAAGATCCACAATCGCTGTTGACACATTGTCACTTTCTCACCACAATGTGGGGCGATTTTATGGAAAAGGCCAAGTCTATGGCCGCAAACATTGATCAGCAGATCACGGAATCTGTGGGTATAGATGAAAATGGCGAAGTCCAGGCTCAAGAGCCCAAGCAAGATGACAATGCTTGGAACGATGATTTTGACTTTGATGATGTTGACGATTCACCTGCTCCTGTAGCCGAGTCTGCGCCTGCAAAGGAATCAGAGCTAGAAGCAATTCCACCACCCAAGTTGGTATTAGACCCACAACCTCAGGAGGGACCAACGCAGGTCATAGGGAAGCTATCAGCTATTGAGACAACCTTTCAAATTGCATCACAAGAAGGCCAGGACAGTGTACAAGCAGCAACGAAATCCGATAACGCTTCCCAACCGAGTGTAGAATCTGCGAATGACCCAGAACCAGTAAAAATTACACCGCCTCATGACTCAGATACAACAGCTGAAGGGTGTGAAGGCAACATCGAGACCGACGCTTTCGATACAAGTGAAATGTTCGATGATAGATTGGATCAAGAGGAGGAGGGCGATGGCTTGAGGATGGATAGCATGGAAGGAAACGAAGAAGCCCAGCAACAACCAGAATCTTTGCCTGTAGCTAGAATAGGAGCCGAAGTGGAAGAAGTAGAAGAAAATGCACTTACGGAGGATGACATGATGGTCAAAACGGAACCAGAAAAAGGCAAAGACAAGGTTCCAGAATTAAATGGTAAGAAATCAGAACCAGTGACCCGAACGGAAGAAAGTGGAGCAGAAATTGGTGAAGACATGGAAGTACGAGAGTCGTTTGCCAATCAAACTCAGCCCGAATCAGAAAAGGATGCAACAGACGAGGCTCCAAAATCTTCCTCTGGGTTTTCTGGTATGCTTCCTCCGGCTGTTGGATCGTTGTCGTTTGGTTCTCCTCGTGCAAACATGCTTTCGCCTTCGTCAAATTCAGCAAAAGGAAAAGAGGAGACACCTAGGTCAACCAACGTGACTTCCTTGTTTTCGTCAATTGCGTCCGCAGTAGATTCGGCCCTAGACTCTGCAGTAGACAAAGCTCCTTCAGCCCCAGCTGTTGATGTAGTCTCAGAAGAACACGATGCATGGGATGACGAAGATTTTGACTTTCCGGACGATCAAAGCCTGCCCAAAGAGACAACCGTGCCTCAAGTCTACCCAGGAAAGGAAGTCGAAGTGGCAGGTATGTCGGGCAGTGCGAAACAAGCAACTGGGTTTCCAGTGGAAACGTCGATCGAGCCAGGAGAAAAAAAAAGCGCGCTGCCACCACTTGCAGATATGTCATCCGAATTACAGCCGTCATCAGTAGTGGACAAGTCGGTCGCCGAGGATATTCCGAGCGATTCTCATTCTCCTGCAGAAGGAAATATTGAAAACGACCCACGATACAAAAGGCTACAACATGAGTTGAGACAAAGAGAAGAACAACTCACAAGTAAATCAGTACAATTGACTCAACTCCAATCATTATGGGAGTCCCAGGAGCGGGAGTTGCGACAGAAAATACAGGACACAAAGGAAGAAGCCAAAACACGGATTCAACGCGCCAAGGAACGATGCGAGACTGCCGAAGCAAGATTGAAACAGAATGCAGCACAAGGAGGACAAAGTTCAGCAGAAAAAGAGCAACTAATTAATGACTTGAGGTCAGAGGGAGAGGTCCTAATGCGTAAGCAAAGCCAGATGGAACAGGCAGTTCGCAACGCCAATGGAGAAACCAGGCAGTTGAGGTCCAAGTTGGCAGAAGAAACCGCTATGAAGCAGAAAGCAATGGGCAAGGTCGAAAAACTTGAATCGGAGCTGAAAGAAACAAAGGAATCGTTGAAGTCGGCCCAGAAAGGCGAGTCCCAGGCAGGCAAGTTAGAGAACGATCTGCTTGCGGCGAGATCTGAAAGCGAAATGAAGGCATCTACTATTCTATCGTTGCAACAGAAAGTGAAGGAACTGGCAGCGGAAGGAAAGGAATTGAAGAAAGAAATGGAAAAGTCGAAGAAAACTGCTGTGCAAGATGCACAGCAAGAGAGGAAGAACCTGCGACGTGAGCACAATGATGTCATTTCTGATTTGGAAACAAAGCTACGGACAACTGAGCGAGAAGCCGGCGTCAGAGAAGATGCTCTTCGCCACGAAGTTACCGAACTTCGTAAACGCTGGCAGGACGCAGTCCGCCGTGCGGATGGTAAGTGCAATCCACAAGCTGATGTAGAATAAGATTACCTGGGTCCTCATTACTTGCGTTTCAGCCCTCAGTATGGATGTGCAGTCGAGCACAGCTCCCCTTTTGAGGCAACTTGAAAGTATGGAACGACAAAACCGTGCCAGAGCAGCAGGGTGGACCGAATTGGAAAACAGACTCCGATCGGAGCTGGAGGAAACCGTCATTCAAAATGAAACATTGTCGCGCGAACGATCTGAGTTCAAGACAAAGTATACACGACTGGAACGTTCGGCAAATGAAAGCGAGACCGAATTGAAGGAATTGAGGAGGACAATCGAAGATCAAACCGCAAAGATCGACAAATTGGAAAGCCAAGTGGAAACTCTAGCCTCGGAAGCCGAAAAACGCGAAGAAGAATACCAGAAGGTAGAACGTTTGGCCAATGAAGGTGTTATGAGAGTGCGCAGTGAAATGACTCAGACAGTGGTTGATAGTGAGGAGCGTTATCGGGGCCAAATTGAGAAGCTCGAATCTGATTTGCGCTTGGAAAAAGAGAGGCGAGACCAGTTGCAAAATCAAGTTGAAGATTTGTTAGAGAATACTGGTATCCCCATGCCCATCCCAGTCGCACAAACACCGAACTCCGAGAGTAAACCCAAGAAGCTGCGCCAAGCAGAAGGCCAGGCGCAAATTTTGGCTGGGGCATTGGGATTCGCCGGTGATAGTGATGATGAAACTGACGATGGAATACTGGGTGGAGGAATGGATCGAGGTGGTGGAAGTGGAAGCGGTGGAGTTGGTAGCTTTGCAGCGTTGGAACAACTAACTTCTCGGTTGAAGGCTGCGCAAGTGGAGTTGGAGTCTCTTCGAAGCAATTTGAGAGAGTCGGAAAGAAGTAGAGAATCCTTGGTGAAGGACCTAGCGGAATCACAAAATGCTAAGGAAAAACTGCCTTTGTTCGAAGCTAAGGTAAAGACGTTGACCGAAGAGAACAGAGAAATGGAGCTGGAGATTCGAGGATTGAGAGACGATATTGCTGACGTGAGAGAGTTGTATCGCAGTCAACTGAATATTTTGCTCGAGGAAAAAACATCCCATCTACAACCGGGAAATGAAGCTTTTATCACTCCGATTGACGAAGCTGGAGAAGACGATGAATCAGAAGCGATAGCATCAGCTTAAACAAAATTTAAAAAAGCTATTTCAATTTTCTTACATTCCCTCAAATGCTTACACATCTTGCTTGCAAAGTACATTCTTCCATGCAACAATATGACTGGACGAGCTGTAGCGTCTGATGCTTGGCGGTGCTGTCATTCGGCTTCGGTCTACTTTCTGTAGCCTGCGTGTGTTCAGTCCGCACCAATCGAATTGTCAGCGACGTTGTACTTAGCAAACAGATTCTGTGGCTTGGCCATCGCTTTGAATTCCAGATTGTTTCCCGACGGATCTTTGAAGAACATTGTCCATTGCTCGCCTGCGTCTCCAACGAATCTTAAATGTGGAGCAATGATGAATTCAATACCATGCTTCTTCAAGCGCTCTGCAAGTTCATGAAACTGCTCGACCGAAAGAGCAATTCCAAAGTGGGGAACAGGGACCTCATCGCCGTCGACTGGATTGAAGTAATCTATATTTCTATAATCATCTCCAACCCAATGTACCACGATTTGGTGACCATGGAGACTATAGTCTTGCCATTTTTCACTCGAACGGCCCTCTTCGCAGCCCATCACGGTACCATAAAAATGTTTGGCTAGACCCAAGTTATGCACCGGAAATGCATAATGGAATGGCGAGCCTGGAGCAGGCTGAGCCCGGATTTCAAATTCCTGTTCTCCTCCTCGAATCGATGTTGGATCGACAGCAGATGCAGAAGTAGAAAACATATTTGATCGAGAAGGTTGAGCCCGGATTTCAAATTCCTGTTCTCCTCCTCGAATCAATGTTGGGTCGACGGTAGACAATCGATTGGCAACGACGAGTTGAGACACTCCGAAGCGTCGCGACCGAGCAGATACCAAATGACTTAGTACAGCAAATGTGGTGAATAAACGGAACATGGTGTTTGCGATGAAAATAAGTGTGTAAGTGGCATCCAACATTTCTCATAGTGTTTCGTTTTTGGTTTGTGTTGAATCGAATGAATCTGATGAATCGATTCTTATTTTTTTATTATTAGTTCAGGTCGTTCAGGTGGTGGAGGCAAGAAGGAGTCTTCAGTGAATTTTCAGACAATGACATTTATTCGATTCACTAAAGTTGAGTCTATCATTAGTGGTTTGAGCCAATCACAGCTTTCTATCACTCCCAATGATAGATGATTCGACCACACTAAATTAGTACTCTCCAATGATGTTTGGGGGAGGAGGTCCAAGCTCCCTAGTCAGCGGCCCTAGGAGTTTCTCTTCGTCTTCTTAAACGACTAGACAGTTTGTTTTAATGACCAACCTTAGCCCTCGATCACGAGAAAACACTGTAGATCCCCTAGGATCCCTTCTAGTAGCTGCCCTGAAGAATGGGATATGATAGTACTCGATTGTGATTGGCCAACCGAAGTTGACTAGTACACTACTACAATAGGTGATGGATACATCGAATGGTAGACACTGATTTTTTAATCTTGTAGTTAGAGTACTATACATTTTCTAGTATCGTTCAGTCGTCTCTGATGGCAGAAAGCGAAATCAACTGCTACTGTATAGTGCCTGTACTATACGAGCAAGAGTATAGATACGAGAGGCTTCAAGCTAAAGCTCAGGTACTGTTCTAGTCTTGCAGTCAACAACACACCAATCCCTTGTATTGGGAGAAACATTTTGTATATCAGAGAACTTGTTTGAACTTAAAACAATGACAGATTCTTCAATTGATTTTTTGCAACGGCTCAGTGCTTCCTGTGAAACCAGGGTAGAAGAGGTCAAGAAAATCCTGAATGAACCTGCCGCCTCCCCCATCTCCAGCTGGGTCCCCAGCTTGATTTCGCAACTCTTTGCCAAGGAAACAAGTGAAAATACGCTCACAGTGATCAAATCTTTGGTAGCAATTGATGATTCAAAGTACTCTCCGACCATTGCGGTTGAGGTCAAGAGAATATGTTTCCATAAACATGCCAACAACCTGTTCATATCTCCCCAAGTTGTGCAACTTTGGATCTACCAATTGTGCTGTACCAGTCACGTCAGTGTGCACACAAATCTATTGGATGCATACAAGGTGGTTTCTCAATTGCAGGGCGTAGTACAGCTTGCCCTTCCAAATCTCATTGGCATTTGGAAGGAATCGGGAAGTACCAATTCAATTGTTGCCATTCGCTGTGCCACGCTCTATCTTTGGACTGTGAAACTTTGTGGAGATTCAGCATTTGAATCGGGAAAAGAACTAGGTGCCACTGATTTGCTTTTGAAACTAATTGAAAAAACCGACGATCCCTTGACGCAACTTAGTGTCTTGGATCTATTTCCCCAAGTATTTGAATTCACCGTGGGGATTCCAGCTGCACAGAAGGCCTGGATGAGTCAGAAGGACGTGACAGCTACCATAATCAAGATTTTGAAAGATCCCATAGTTGGTGGGGCGTCCATGCAATACCTCGCACTCGTGGCGCAGTTTGACGACCCTCATGTCCTTCCAGCTCTCCTCAATTTTATTCGATCCGTTGGCCCAACTACCATCGAATCAGAGCGGCTCCAGGTTGTCAACGCACTGAGCAGCCTATCACAAAGCTCTTCGAAAATGCTGGAATGCATATTGCAAGATGCTGAGCTTCGATGTTCTTGGTGGGATGTGTCAAGAACCTCAGTACCGAAACTAAAGGCTGCAATTTTGAGCAGCATTGCTCAAACCCTCAAGCACCCACAAAATACTGACGCATCATTAATGCTTCGTTTATATACACTCATCGGCCAAGACAACTCTGCCGAGTCCACTACGGCCTGGATGTTGCAAAAGTTTGCGATGAGTCCAATGCCAGAGCTTCGCATTGCGTCCTACACAGTCTGGATAAGCTTGGCCCAGATACCTGGTGGTTGCACTTTGTTAGCTATGAGTAGTGGGTTCATGGACTTGGTAGTTGAGGGAATCCGGGAGTCCTCGTACGATGCACGATTGGCAAAATTTGAAGTTCTCAAATACTTCGATGAGCATGCCAATGCATTTCTCTCAGCGGACATTGCGAAAAAATTAAAGCAAAACTTGGCGCTTGGGCCACATGGGATGAAAGCCCAACGCTGGGAGGTTGCTACGGATTAATTATTATATAATGATGTAAATAATTTTTTTACGTATGCTGTAATTTATAAAGTTGGCAGGATTTCCGTCACCACCACCTGTCCACTTGTTCCATTTGTTCAAAGCTCTTCTATATCTAGGCTTCACATAGTTTGTCCCATGTCTCATCCTTTCATACCTTTTTCCCCTTTTATCCAGTAGAGCTTCCATAATCTCTTTCACTAACAGGTAGATTGCATCGCATTTTTTCCATTCGGTGGATGCCAGGACAATGGTAGACGGATCGGACTGTTGTTCACATCATGATAGCATTCGAGAAGTTGTGTGAAAAATTCAAGAGCGCGGGAAAGCTACAATATCGGACTATCCGATAGCCAACTGGCGCCTTCTTTTCGGGTTCTTCTGCTTGGTGTTTCTTGGAGTGACTCTGGTGGGTTGTGGTGTGAACTGGTCCTTTTGAGTTGCGCGCGAAGCGTGCGACTCAAAGGACCAGTCTCAGATTTCCCGTAAGACGTGAAATCTGAGACTTGCTTGTCTGCCAGGCCTTGACACGAAACAATCGTGTCAAGGCCCAACAGGGTGTGGTGGGATGGGAAAGAAAGAAATAACAGAATCTTTCTGTCAGTATACTTGCACACAAGTTCGATATGTGTAGATCGGACTTAGGTTGCTGGTGAGATGACGGTCGCCCTACCGTCGTTCATGGAGTCACTATTGAGTCCATTGGTTCGACCGCTTTCTTCCGTCTACGGCTGCGGATTATACAGCATTGAACACTAATATTGTACTCATCAAAACAGCTTGGATTCAGGCTTACTTTCTATATATTATATAGACCTGAATAGTCACGTGCGGTATTTGATAAAGTTCAATTTAAAATTGTTCTCGTCATTTGGTCATTTGTTGTGATCCCTCATTGTTTTTCCGATCTGCCAATGAGCGTCATTATGGCATGATGCACACTATGAGAATGAATAGATGATGCGTTATTCTAATCCGATGGATGTAGTGGTGGTGATGATCTAGGAGTCTCCGGAGACTGCACTTTGCAAGACCACGGGAAATACCATGGATGGTGTCCCTTCCGATGAGATCCAATCATCCAGCCCACCGAAACGATGGATCGGGTCGCCCTCTGCGAACACTTCTCGAAACAGAACCTTTGGATTCAACAAGGATAGCAGAGAACTCTCTTCCGCTTCATCCGTGTTATTGGGTTACGACGGTGACATCAAGACATTTAGTTACGACTGTGAATTCAAAACACAAATTTATCAAGTCAAATTTACTTGACGAATAGATGAAGGAAACTGAATAAGCTCTAGTCTAGACCATTGATTATTATTATCTTTCCCCTCTCCTTTTTCTTACTGCTATCATTGAATTAGCGACTGCGAATATCCTCATGCATGTTTTTCATATACAGGGTAACTGCAGCACGTTTCCCTCTAAAAATCGCTGGACTTGTGTTTTCACGATGTTTGACTTGTCACAAGCTGGAGAAGACACGCCAAGCATTTTCTGATTGGCAGGCTTTCCGATCTTGTTTGAAATAGGCAAGGCTGGCTTCATATTTGGTGAGATTTGGTGGGAACTTTATTAGTGTTCAATGCTGCGGTATGTATTATCCGGAGGTTTTAGAGAACCTTACTTTTAATTAAAAAAAGGCAAGTTGAATGGTTTACGTGTGCTGTATTCACTCCAGAGTTCGGAATCCAGGTTGTGTCTGACGTCATCGTGAGGGCTGTCGTCAAACTTAATCAGATATCAAACAACTCCATCCAAAGCTTGTCTCTTAGTCTGCCACTACTGTAGAAATTCGAAATGCTTGACAATTTGCCACACAGGAAGGAAACATCAGGTTCTCAAGAGCTGCTTTTCATATTCTCTCCACCAGCTGGACTGGCTGAATATTTCGCACCGAGATATGCGGTGTACGGGTTTTCGCTGGTGTATTGGATTGACCTGCTCTCACTCATTCTACTGCAAGTTCTAATCGCATCCGTTTTTGGCCTTATAATATACCGAGTTATCATCCGACCTCGAGATTTTGAGTCTTCGAAAACGATGATTCTGGTTTATGGTGCCATCATTCCATTCTGGCTTTTGATGCCAGTATATTTTTTAAGAGTCTTCGGCATTCGAAATCTGTTCATGAGGTTTGCAACAGGCTGTCTTGTACCAATAGTCTCCATCTTCCGAGCAACTGAGGGTGAGTTCGGATTCGGGCGAACCTTCACCTTCAAAAATCTAAAATGCACTCCAGGTATTCCTGTACCAGAAAATCTCACCCAAGTCGCTATAACCTGATCTTTCATCCTTGCTTTCAGCGGCCCATGGGTTCGCTCCAGAGCATTCAACAAAGTCAGAGAAAGACTACATGGTCTACTACGCATCTCTCCTGATAATTTCCCGCGATGAAAAGGGTGACTACATAAAATGCACTTGGGGCAAGGTTGCTCGACATGGATGCAACTTTTTGGGGTTCCTGTTGATACTTGGGATGTACAAGTCTATCATAATGCTTCATGAAGACTTGGTTGTTTTTGGACCGCCAATCAATAGCCGTTCCGAGTGGAATTCGCTCAAACGTTTTGTGACTTGGGAGTTGTACGCCAACAATATGGTTCACGCTAGTGAGCTAACCAATGTCTCGAGCGAGATGCTATGTTTGTTTGTAAAGTTGGACTGTCCTCACATACAGTCCTCTTGATGGAACGTTCTTGCTTTTAGTCTTATTCCAGCTATACTTGACAACGTATGTCGAAGGGTTGACTCTTCTCTGGACGGCTATTTCTGGATGTCAAGTGGACGAGGTGATGAAGAATCCGATGTTTGAATCAAGGAGTCCGTCCGACTTTTGGTCAAAACGTTGGAACCTCCTCATTCACACCGTTCTCAAAGGTGGCGTATACAAACCAGTCCGGAAAAATGGCTCTATAGCTCTTGCCTGCATATCTGTCTTTCTGGCATCCGGTCTATTTCATGAGTTCTTACTGGCAGTAACATTCTTTGAAGGTGTTTTTATCCCAGCCTATGGCTACACTCTGGCATTTTTCTTTTGGCAGGCTGCTTTGATTGTGGGCGAGATATCATTTGGACGATCCAAGTTCTTTCAAATCCTTGGAAAGTCCCTACCATCAACCGCTCGTACTGTTTTGGTCATTTCTCTTGGTTTGCCATTGGCCCACATGTTCAGTGAGCCGTACGCCCGATCAAATTTTTTCCAAAGTGGACTACAGGGCGTCCCAACAGTGCTTGCATTCTCCGATTAGGATGAATGAAAAAATTCATTTCACTTTTATTCGAACGAAAGCGGTTCGGGACCTAAAGCAGTTTCACGGCCAAGTGATTCCCTGATCAAATTCTTCGACCTTTTACTGCATACCTGATTTTGACTGCTGTTGCCGTAGCTTTCATGAAGAGGTAATCAAGATGCCGCTAGTCCGTAGGAAACAAAACGAGAATGACAGTCATACCAATTGAGGTATCCAGTCTCAATCAGGAGATTTTAGTGTCCAGTGACGAACATGAGATAAAATTCATCTCTGGGTAATTAATTGTGTCATCAATATTCTGAGCTATATGTGGATGCTCTACCAATGGTACGAAATGATGTTCAAGAACCAGATCCCAGGATGTACTATAGAGTCACTGCATAGAGTAGGTATAATACCAGGTACCAGTACGAACCGGTAATACAAAGAGGGTTGAGGGACGAATAAAAATAAAAAGCGTCGTTTTCGTGACGTCATGAAGAGAGTACAGAGTACAGGCAGAAACCAGAAACGACAACCACAAACAAATATTGATTGAAAAGATATCGCAAACACCTTGCCGATGGTTTCTTTATACTTTATATGGACATTCCTTTTATCCAACCCCCTTTTGCCACAGCAAACAGTATCACGAGATGAAGGGTCGTCGTTTCTGGCATCTGCGCGTCATGCCATGTCTCAAAACGATACGGACGCAGCTTTCCAATATCTGAGCGAAGCATTTTTTCGAAATCCCAATTTGGTGGGCCTGTATTCTTGTTTCGAGGATCTTTTCCGCTTGAAAATAAGCTTAAATAACGACGACGTCGATCGTATGGGGCTGGCAAGTCTTCTGTCCGACATTGGCAGATACGAGGAAGCGGCAAATGAATTGCGAGAAATGCTGTCGACGAAGAATGATGTTTCCCACATGGATCAAGCCTTACACAAGAAAGCGAGATCTACCCTTTTTCGAAATGAAGCTGCAATATGTTCATGGGATTCATATGATGCAGATAGTGTGGCAATGCTGGAATCAGTTAGAGACGACTTGGCCGTAAATATTTTACCATCAGTCCATCCCTATGAAGCTTTGATGTGGCCTTGTCTTTCCCTCGAAGATGCGAGTTCGATTGCAAGAAGTTATGCAAGTAGAACAATGGGGTCAGTGGTTGATACGAAGCCCCGACTGGAAACTCCAGAGAGAGTTTATGCATACACAAGGAATGATGAGAAAGTGCATAACTCTAGAATAAAGGTGGCATACATCAGTCCAGATTTTACAGGCGTGCATCCTCTCGCATTCCTAATGCAGGATGTCTTCCGGCTCCACGACAACTCAAGGTTCGATATATATGTTTATTCATTAAATGATTCAGATTTGAGCCCGGAAGTTGAGAAGATCAAGGCTGCAGCTTCGAAATGGACTGTCCTCTCTTCATCTGTTGACGACATGGTAGAGACTATCCGCGCTGATGGTTTGGATATGCTCATCGACTTGTGCGGATACACCGGGACGTCATTAATCGCGGAAATAATGGCTCGTCGAGCAGCACCAGTTCAAATAGCATACATGGGTTTTCCGGCTAGCAGCTGTGCCCCGTTTATCGACTTCATGATATGCGATGAGATCGTTGTTCCGCCAACAGAAATGTCCATTCGAAAGCACTACTCCGAAAGCCTGATTTACATGCCCCATTGCTATTTTGTCAACAGTCATCGATATCTACTTGAGAGGATCAAGAGGTTTGCCAACCCTACCCGGTCACAGAACTCCTTGCCAAAACATGGATTTATTTTCTGTTGCCACAGCCGACCAGACAAAATTGACCCCATTACTTTCGACTCTTGGGTTGGCGTCATAAAACAAATCCGAGACGAGGGGAAACGGGAAAAAAACCCGCAGAAGGAAAACGCAATCCTTTGGCTACTGCGATCATGCGCTGAGATGGAGAGAAACTTGAGACAACGTTCCAGGAACGGTTTTCAGTTGGATGATGATGCAATCATCTTCGCAGACAAGGTATCTCGTGACGAGCATTTGCTTCGCTTGCAGCTTGTAGATTTGTTTCTCGATACTCCGGCCTACAACGCACATACTGTTGGAGTTGACTGTCTAAGCGTCGGGGTACCAATGGTCTCTCTGTTGCGCAAGACACCAGAATCAACAATGGGAAATGAGATAGCAACCGAAAAACTAGCCAGTCGGGTAGGAGCCAGCTTGCTTACATCTGTGGGGCTACCCGAACTGGTAGCTCCTGATATGACAACCTACCAGTCAATCATGAAACGATGCGTCACAGACGAGGAATGGTTCTCAAGTTTGAAGGAAAGGTTGTCCAATCACCTTGAATACGCTCCTCTCTTTGACACTAAGCGATGGGTGGATAACTTTGAGTCGGCTTTGTTTGCCATTGACTGTGAATGGAAGAAATCAAAGCGAGATTTCGATGTATTTGTGATTGAGAAATAAGGAGGTCCTTTGTTGCAGATTCCACTGTGACTGGCATATCGCAGAGGGGTACAACATACTGAATTATTGCGGAAACGATACTGGGACACACTTATCCTTGTGCAAGCGTTATTGGTCACAGTAGCTCGAGGGTCTCTATTGAAACCAAAGATATCGACATCGAAGTCGAGCAGTGGCGTGTCGATCGCGGAGCTGAGACATTACGATCAAGAGCATGTTATCTACCCCTTTACTACCTTTGTATTATCGCGCTCCTTAAGGGCAGCAGCAACCCGAGCTTCAACCGCAGCCCTCCTGTCTGCAAGGTCCTCTTTCTCTTTTTCCTTCAACTTCGTTTCCTGCTCTGTCGACATTGCAGAGGCTTCCATCCAAGGTAGAACAGATCCATCTGGTCGTTTAATCATTACCCAGTTGATTTGGTTCGTTTCATTACAGTTTGCACAAGGCCCTGGAGTTTTCCTACTCTCATCGAAATTTTTGCCGATCCCGACGTGACCACACTTGAAACAGACAGATGCTTGTCCCATCGTGATACTATCCTTCGGTGGCCCTTCGTACATTTCCAAAAGCTTATCTGTAGCTGTCTTTAGATTCACAGCGTTTGGGACCATGCCTAGTCTTTATGATGAAAGTAATCATGAGATGAATAACAACCTATTTTTGCACATATGGTGACGCAATAGCAAAATTACCTTAAGAACAGTTCCGCAACGCTATATAAGTTTGTGGGGAAGTTTTTATCGTTTCCTTCGTCGCCATTTGGAAGAACAGTAATCCCCGCATACTTTGGCGACACTTCAAGCCTCAAGATATCTCCTTGTTTGATGGAGTTGGCCATGGAGGTGGTTGAGTGACAATGAGGGCGAAGTGTTCGTATATTACTATACTGTATTTATAATATATTTTGTTTGTTGTGCAGTATAGTATACTCGCATTGTTTCGGATTTTATTGACTAGTTCGAACAAATATTTTCACGCAAAGTCGCTGCGCATCATTCATTCATGGAAGATTCCTTGTTTTCATTCATTCATCTGCTTCAACCAAAAGCATCATCTGCATACACAAAGAAATACCAGATTATCTGTACGGTACTCTGTTTTCCTCTTTTTTCTTCAAGCATACGCTTCCACAAAAAGATAAACCAAATTGTTGTTGCCTATGTACATCATGTCAAATGCATTGAGGTCGCGCACGTCAGTGCACCTAAGATCAAGCTTGAGTTCAATGCCACGCTGCATGGTTTCTCGCCAAAAGCAGCAGCAGCAGCAGCAGCAGCAGCATGCGGCCTCAACCCTTCTAGGAAAACCAGCAGCAAAAGGACCTAGCCCAACGAACACTTTTTCAAATGGCGATTTCATTCAATTGAGGATGTTTCAATCCGAATCTGAATATCATAGTATTGCCAATGAGACTTTGGAAGACATTCAAGACGCTGTAGAGATCGCCCTTGAAGAGAAGGGTGTTGGAGAGTTTGATGTCACCTACGCCAGTGGAGTGCTAACAATCGTGCTTCCATCTCCGCATGGGACCTACGTAATTAACAAACAGACACCCAACCGTCAGATATGGTGGTCTTCGCCCAAGACTGGCCCGCGAAGGTACGAATATGAAGAAGGGGAATGGGTATTTACACGAGATGAGTCGCAGTCAACGACACTTGTGCAATCACTGAAAGAGGAAATTCATGAAATCTATGGTATTGATCTAGATTTATGACAATATAATTTGTAAACACAGCTATCGCTCGAGTAATCGTATCAGATAAATTAATCATCGAGAAGATCATTCAAATCGTCATCGTCTCCCCAGTCATCATCAGCATCTCCACCATCTTCTCCGCCATCATTACTGAAGTTAGCCGATAGAGTGTTGGAAGTGCTGGCAACTGCCGTCACAGCAGCAGTGTTTGCTGGGGTTGCCCATCGGCTCCCGCCGGATGCTGCTGCGGGGGTTGTTTTTGGGCCTCCTGAAACTGGAGCCGAAAATTTGGGCTTGGCACTCAATCCCATGGATGCAAAAATATCATCCTCTGGCGGTTTGGTTGTGGGTTTGGACTTGGCTGGCGCCACAGGCTTCTTCTTCCCCAAGGATGTGATGCGTTGTGGAATAGGCATGGCAGCTGAATTAGGAATGGGTTGTGCAGCAGCTGGTGCAGGCATCACAGGCGCGGATGCTGGCGATTTGGCGACTGGCTTTGGCTTTGGTTTCTGCTGCTTTGACATCAAGCCCATTCCCGACTTCACTGGTGTTGAGCTTCCTGAATTGGAGGTCCTTGTATTTGTAGCAGAAGAAGACAAATTCAGCCCTCCACTGCTAGGGGCCGGTGCAGGCCTACTAGAAGATGTCATGGGTGAAGCGCTCGGGTTGTTGTAAGACACTGGATCTTTGATGTCGATAGATGTATTGCGTTTGTGAACTACTTCGTCCTTGTAGCTACCAATGGATCCTGCACTTTCGTTTGCTGGTAATTCGATTTCACCACTGGTGCTATCTTTGTCGTCTCCCCATCCCCATTCTTCGTCATCTTCATCGCCAGGTCTAAAATTTCCAAGGGTAAAAAAAACGATGATAAGGATTGATATGTGAGAATTTTTGTTTTGTGATACTCATTTCAAAGAACTCTCACTGCACACACAAGTCAAGCCAATCTCACTTACATATCATGGTATTTGACTGGTTTGGATGCAGAGCCACCACTTTCTCCGCTTCCTCCCATTCCATCGAATCCATCAGAGCCCTTCAAAACCTTCAACATCTTGCCTCGATTGGAATATGCAATGCCAACAAAGACCATTAGCAGAACGATTGCAAGAACAGCACCATTCCCTTCATCCTCTTCTGGATAATTCATTCCACTATCGCTTGTCGGTGCCTTGGATGGCGGAGAAGCAGAAGGTTCTCCAGCAGAATCGTCTACAGGGAACTTGTTGCCGTCGCTATTCGAGCCATTTGCACCACTTGCGCTACACATGTCCCCGAGCATATCCTCCACTTCACTCTTTTTTTTCTTCATACACTCCAGTACCTCCGATGTCCCAAGTGACCATCGACAGACTTCTTCGTCGTCGTCGGTGAAATGTGAACTTGCAGTCTCACAGTCTTTACATTCCGTGGCTTTTGCGCAAGGGTCTTCGTCGGCTCCACCGTCTCCGTCCTCGTCTCCACCACCACCACCACCACCCCCACCATCAGAATTTACATGCACCGTCTCGTTTTCGTTCAATAGATTTCGAGTTGGGTGTACGGAGTTGGGATCTTTTTCAGCATCAGTGAATGGTATCATCCAAGAGAAGGCGAGCAGGCAAGACACGAGGAGTAATCTCCATGACCTTAATGCCAACATCTTTTACTTCTTTATCAATGCCGTTTATACGAAATGTCCCAATCTGAATCTGTAGAGGGATATGAGCTGAAACACTCTCTCACGGCTTCTTTGAGCCTATTGATGCGAGATTGCCTGGTTGTGTTGCCGTTTTGCTTTTAGTCAAAGTTGTCGAACGCTTACGAAGACCTACTTCCGTCCAGTGCAGTGCGGTGCAATGTGATTTTTTGTGGCCGACAACAGTTTCAAGTGAGAAAGACGAGCTGAACGATACAGTACCGGTGTAATACAAGCGACGGCGGATGACAGAAGAGTTGCAATCAAGGAGTTCCACCCCGCCTTTTCAGCTTAATATCCATGAATGGATTGAAAGCCAACAAAGTGCACATGGAGTGCGTCATGATGATTACGCACAATACCACGGGTATTGCACTCGCCGCTTATCACGGTTGAGTCACCATCCAGATGTGAAAAAACATTTAGTCTGTTCCTCGAAGTTTGCCTCGGATAAATCTGCCGCCAAAGGCCGTGGTCGACATGCTTACTGTTCGCGTCAAAATGACACCTTTGCCAACAATGAAGAGACAGGGAAAGTTGAGGTTCCTCACAGTTCCATTTTGTGGTATTTGGTGGTGTTGGCGGAACGATCCTGGGCCCATGCTAACATGTTACAAAAGCAAAAGAAGCAAAGGCAAAATGTACTGCGTAAGCTCAAGAAGGCAACATTGTGGGCCAAGAAGCTCGAAGAAATTGCCAAAGATTGCACAGATAGTTTGACGCAACAAGAATGCCAGGCCTACGCCAGTTGGATGGTTGCCAACTTGGCGTTGGAAAAGATGGACTATCAAGTATGTCAATGTGTCATTCGTTTCCTAAGCTGTTTCCTTGACAATATGAAATAATTCTAACTTTCCGTATTCTTTGTGATAAAGATGGCCAGTCAAGAATATGCCAATGCCATGTCAAAATGCCATGCACTCAGCAAACAAGTTCCACAATTGGTCGAAGAGCGACGAGGAGGTGAAGCAGAAACCCAAAAGGCCGCAAAACTTCTTGAGCGCCAGGATCTTTTTGTCAATCGAGCGGATACCCTATTGAGACCACTTTTTCGTTACAGCCAGTATGAGTTGAAGCAGGCAGGATTGCCGACTATGGACGAACCTCAACTAGATATTACAGCGGTGAGCAACAATGCCAAGAAATCGGCAGAAGATATAGCTATTGAATTTCGTGGACAAGACCTTGTTTTGGATAGTAAAGACCTGCGTGTTTTGCTTTTGAAGTTGCAATCCATGCAGCAAGAAAAGGCCGCAAGCGAATCGGAGGAAGAAAAGGTCGCTGAAAGCAACGAGGGATCATTCTTGGAAATTTTGTCTGTCTTGGACGACGCATTGGATGTAGTCCAGAACGTGTTGAGTAGCTTTGAACAGGCCAACTCTGGACCAGCGGTTCAGGCAAAACGAACTCAATACCTGCAATGGAAGGGATACTTGCAGTATGAAAAGACAAGGCGTGTCATGAATCATACAGAATTGCTTCTGAAGGATATCACTGGCCACGCAGAGCGGGTGCACGTGTACGATGCCCTGCTGCAACATTCTCAATCACTTTTGAATTTGCCACGGCCCCAAGCAGATGGCAACTTTGCCGCAGAAGAAGAAGAGGATGAATTCAGCTTGCAAGTTCAGGCAAATGTTCTTCGTCTGAGAGCATTGAAATCATATCACATGGCTTGGTATTACTATGAAAAACCACGAAAGTACGATCATGCTTTCGCATTGATTCAACAATCTAGTAAGTTAATGAGACGAGCACAAGAAGAAATCGCTGCATGTGATGAAGATATGCCTCGATCGGATGAATATCTACAAGAGTTGGATGATCTACCCTTTCATAGTACCATAGCTACTATCCAAGCCGCGATGTACTTGCAACAAACACGTAGCCGAGGAAAGTCGGGAGCTGCAATTGAGACAGATAGGCCGTTGTTGCTGCGTCTGAATGAAAATGATTCCGGAACTGTCCTTGCCGCACTGACTCCGATCCCAATTCCTTGCAAACTTGGCTTCTTCGACCTTGCGTACACCTATGCCATGGATTCGACGGATTGCATCGACGAGGTTCAAAAATACCTTGACATTCATACTGTCGAGGATAATGATGACAACGAGGACAGTCCGTCTGCATCGTCTGGTGGTTGGTTGGGCTGGCTTTCTGGTTAGATAGAAAAGCCAAGACTCTAGATCTACAGTAAGTTTTACGTAGTCGGAATATATTTATATATTCTCTAATTCTTTAGCGCATTTGTATATCGCCAACCTGTCCGATCCAACCATTCAACTGCCAATCTACGCAATCACTAGCAACAAGAGGATCCTGAAGCACAAGTTTCTGGGCCGCATCATAGCTCTTTGCCGCAAGAAACATGAGCCCACCCCCTCCCGGCTTTCCTTCGGAATCAACCCGGTAACCAGACGTAATGCAGTATCCATGTTGTCGAAGCTGTTTTACCCAATCTTTGTGCGCTTCCAAGTGAGGCTTCACTTCAGGAAATGGTCTTTTGAAAGTCTCCGTTTTGCAAAACCATGTTTCTTGTCCATCCAAAGGAAGTCCTCGAACTGTGGATTTCTCCAGCTCAAACCAAAGCTCCTGACCATGGACAATTGGGCTCGGTCGATTGACCTGAAAGCCACATTTGACATAGAATCCCAGCAGATGAGCTTTGGCCAACAAAACCATAGATTCGATGCTTCCGTCTATGTTCTCCACCTGGACCTTTTCCACATAGCACTTCAACATTGCCGAGGCAATCCCTTTACGTCGGTATTTCTCTTGCACCACTACCGAATGAATTGCTAATAGTTTACCTTCCGGGTCATGGGTAGACATGCTCTCTTCTTCGAACAAGGAACATCTCGTGGCGCACACAAAGCCAACAATATTCCCGTCAAAGATTGCGCACTGAAAATAGTCTCCGGCATTTGACTGTCGATTATATAACGAGTCCAGTGATGCTGCCTCATCTCCGGGATAGGATGCAGATTCAATTTCAAAACACGTTGGAATATCTTCGGCCAAAGGTCGACGAAACGTCAAATCTGACACGATTTTTTCATTAGCAGCTGCATTCATGGTACTCGCCACTCTATTGCGAAGGCTAGGTGCAAATTTTTCCTGTTGAAATGCCAATGTTTGTAGGAATAGGATCGATTGAACAGTCAAGAGCAAGCACATCGTTCTGGTGATTTCTGATTGTGTTTGTTGGGTTGTGGTGGGTATTCGGATGAGTCAATATCTGATCTTTGATCATTTTTTAATTAAACCAGCTCTCCAGGGAGGGGAAATCGGTATGGAGCTTGTTTGGGGGTATCGTACTGTACAGTATCGTATAATAGTACACCCAGCAGATTTGGCGGGGTGGTACAATTTACTGTAGGCATGGAAATTTAGTTGTGGCAAATGCGTGTCATGGGCAAAGAAGAAAAGTGATAGACATATATAAAACCAGGTGAAACTTGTTGTCGTTGGGTGATTGATTCCGCTTTTATGTATTGTATCAAACAGAGATGCATGAATCCTGATCTCTTGTAGGTCAGCGCAATGGATGTAGATCCTTTTCTTTCCACCAGCAGGTAGTGGTGGCTTTCGGGCCACGAGGTGCATATATGGGGATCATGTATGCAGAGAGAGTCACCAGAGGTTTGAGAAGATGAACGACGCCAGGGGTGGTTTTTCTTAGTCCCAGCTGATGTAGGAAGTCGCAAAGGAGCGGAAGGGAGCAGAAGAGCAAGAGCAAGAGGGGCATCATTTTCAGCTGAGAGAATAATAATAATAACAATAATAATAATAATAATAATAATAATAATAATAATAATAATAATAATGATAATGATAATAATAATAATAATAATAATAATAATAATAATAATAATAATAATAATAATAATAATAATAATAATAATAATAATAATAATAATAATAATAATAATAATAATAATAATAATAATAATAATAATAATAATAATAATAACTGAAACATTAATCGATTTTAAATGCTATCTAATAGCGCAAAGGATTGCTGGTGGAATGTTTGGCTGTAAAGGTCAGGTACTGGGAAGCGGCAAGTTAACAACAAGTTTGAACCATGAGAGGCATCTGACAAACAGAAGTTGCTCTAGTCAGAACCAGTGGGTCCGGACTCTTCCACAAAGCAGTGGTTAGGGGACTTGGTCCTTAGGATGGAAAAGTGATGAAGAATGCGGCATTGAGGCACCAGAGCACGGCACTAGGCCGTGTGTTCCATTTTTACCAGCTTTCGCCACTCCTCCCAATCTTTCGAGGGTTTGTTCAGTACTGCCCGGCGCTTGACCAAGAGCATGCGCTGGGCAACCTTTGGAAGGTTGGTTGGGCCCATATCGAACTGGGAATGAATCCCGTCGTTGACCTGTCGGCTGTGCTCACGTAGCTGCACATTATCCTCCAAGTGTTGCACCAAGTTCCAATGTTCCCACATCTGGAACCCCATCAAGATCAGCTGGTGTGATAGATGAGAAACCCACAGAGTGGGAGAGCTGCCTCCCATGCAACTGTAGGTATTCTTCCTGCAAGGGGCCCATTGACAAGACAGCCGTCCTTCCAAGAGTCCTTGGTAGCCAATGCATTGTTGAGAGCAGAAGGCCCTACAGAGGCAGCCAGGGACACCCCGTAGGGAAGGAAGGGACGGATCACGGACACCTTGGATAAGGAGGAGGATGGCATGTTTGATGGCCAGGTTCTCACTTGGGTGTCCAACCAGCATTGTTTCAGGGCATTTGCAGCTGAGAGACGAAAGATGATCAAAACGTATGTAAGTGGAAAACCTATTCCAAATGGTCAATACTTTGTTGTGATGCTGGATTTTTCACCAACCATCATTCTGAAGTCCACAGGATTACACATACTGCTGGCTTTTATGGAAAGGTCTAGCGGCAAGTTGTAAGAATTGGTAGCTCCAAAGTATCCTTTGGTAGATATGCTGCAAGATGTGAGGGAAAATGAAAAGGCCCTCAGTGGAAGGCCTGTTTACATTGCAGCATCAAAGAAAAGTACTCAAGAGATCGTTTGGCTTTTTGTTGGGGGCGGAACAAAGATGACCTAATTGGAAAAGAAACGGATGAGGGACTTTTTTCATTTCATGAAAAGATAGATCAAGAATGGAAGGCAACGCCCATAGGAAAAGGAAGCAC